GAGGAGTAACATATTAAGAAACTTATGAAGAGAGAGAAGAAAGATGAAACTCGGTTTACACACTTACCTATGCCTTAGTAATAGAATGAAACTTCATTGGGACTAAATCATTTTATCATAATCTTGAAAACGAAAAAAAAAACTTATTGTAACCAAATAGTTTCACACCATTTAATATTTAAATGCTAGCAAATGAAACCGTACATTGAAGACGTTTGTTTCATTCACCATTTCAAACCTCTTTAGATTGTGTGGAATTCTTGAAAACCAAAAAATAAAACTCTTCACCAGGAATGTCCTTGCAGCTTAAGGCTAAGTTCGGGAGGTAAGGTTTCCAACCTTGTCTCTTGACACGAAAAACAAAGCAAACAATTAGAGCAAGATTAATTAAGTATTAGCTAAAAAACTTAAAATGGATTAATATGATTTTTTTAAAGCAACTTTCCAATAGAATGCTTTTGTAAAAAAGAAAAAAATATACCGTTTAGTACTTTGAAAAACATGCACACTGAAAACGGAAGAGCTTGAGTTGAGAAAGAAGGGGAAGAACACAGACTAATTTGTTAAAATCGGCCTACCATGGGCCAGAATTATTGCTCTCTTCCTAGAATAAATGAGGCAGTCCAGTCATTTCACACTCTTGTAATGGACAAAAAGAGAGGGCGGTGATTATATATATATTTATTTCATTTTTGCAACGGTGTTTGCAATCTGTTTTTGTTCACAAATTTTATTACGAAAATGGGCAATGATTGTAATAGCTGTGACCAATTTTACTCTACATGTATAGGCATGTCCTGCAAGTGCAATTTCCAAACAATGTTATCCTCTTGCTCTGTTTTTAGCTAGCTGGTAACGACAGGGAACAAGATGGACCTCGAGACAATATAATTATACAGTTAGTGACGATCACACTCTCAATAGGTATTTTGTGAGTATCAATCTATTAAGCTCGTGTTACCAAGACATATTCATGGGTGGGTACAACTGATGTACATGTACTGTGAACGTATTCTAAATAATTCAAGAAACATTCGTTATATTGTCAAATCTAGCAGAGCGGGTTCTTGGGCTAGTTTGTTAAATATTAAGCCGACAAATTGTATAGAGATGGTGCGATGCATTTGCCCAAATTAAAGCCTAGCTAGTTGATTAATAGCAACCGTGGCGGGCTTTTGCACGGCAGAAAAGCAGAGGTGATGTGTAACGGTTCTCTCTGTCAGCAACTAGCCAGGAAGACAAGCTCAAAATATATCAGAAATTAGAGTAGCCTCTTGCGATACAACAATTATTAGACATTAAATATGGCACTGCATGTCACATCTTGATTTCTTTTTAGAAAAACATTGTGGGTTTCTTTGCACGGATGAACCTGGTATACGATATATTGCTAAATTTATTAGCCCGTCTCAAGAGATTTTTTTTTAAAGAAACAAGTTGGCGCTAGCGACATAACGTTTCTGTGCACACAATATTTTTATTGTATAAACGATGTATGCAAATGCCAATATATATATTGACCCTGTGTCTAACAGTAGAAGCAGAAGGTGCATATAGTTTTTATTATTAAAAAAATTCTAATGTATTATCATACCAAAAGAGGAAAATATGTAGTGCAAACTACATATGTAGTAAAAACCTAAAAATTACCATTGGATATCAAAATGGACAGCTTCTTCAGGTTCTAATTGATTTTCTATTGCACTATTGCTTGTAAAAGATTTGCCCACATTACCCAGAGTAAAAATTTAACTCCTGAATTTAACCATGAGTAAAATTTTTTTTGGGCTCTGGGTGACATGGACAAATCCTATGCGTTCATTTTTAAGATCCAATGATAGTTTCCAGATTTCCACTATATATGAGATTTGCACTACATTTTTTCTCAAAAGTTGTCATAAGTTTGGCCTAAACCATCCAAAATGAAATGTGTGGCCTTTTTAACTACTAGTGCAGTGTGAGTACGTTGTGAGCGTATGCGATTGTATTGTGTTTCTAAAAAAAATATCTCCTAATGAAGCTGTGCATGTAGTAAATGAATACTCCCTCCATTCATAAATACAATATTCTATGTTATTTAGCAAAGTTTTTAAATTGGGGAAAACAATTTCCTTTTAGTTAACTTGATGGTCAAACCTTAATTTCTGAATTGTTTGAATTTCTCTTATAATTAAGCACATGATTGGCTGGAAATGCATAGATTTCCATGAATTAAAAATGTTTATATTGTGTATATATTTACGAAGAGCGGAAGCAGTAAGTTGCAGTGTTAGTTTTCAGTAATTAAGAAACAAGGACTGGGGACTGGAGGGAGGGAGGCAGATTAAAGTGGAGGTGTTAGGCAGGTTCCCCTGATTGGTTTTAGTTCGGTTTGGTAACATGAGTAGTAGCTGAAGAAGCTGGAGGTGAAGGAGATGGGAATTCCTTTTTTCGGCCGGCCACTGACGGTTTGTCCAGCGCCGAAATCGATCCGGATGGATGTGATGTGGCAGCGGGCAGCAGCTGCTAACTTTAGACTGCCTATCAATGTGTATATTAGTATTTAATTTAATGGTCATGGTTTAGGTTGACACTTGCTTAAGGTGCATCTATCTATCTATCGTACGTTTTCATAGTATATGATAAGTATATTATTAGAGCAATTTTATCGTTCTTGAGGAGGTACCATTTTTCTATTGTAAATTCGATACCTCTTTACACCTAAGTACTATGAGGTACAATGAGATACCAAATTTTACATTAAATTTTTGGTACCTCTTCGAGAACCGTAGAATTACTCATATTATTATGTAGGTGTCTTGGTGAAGACACGTACGTGGTGAGGATCGACATGGGCAGGGCAGGGTATCCGATTACATGGATGAAAGAATTAAGTAGAGTAAAGAATGGAAGGAAGGAAGGGTCGAGAGGAGGTGTCAGGGAGCAAGCAAGCCAAGACGATGGATGTAGCTAGGCCGCAGGCGGCTATAGCTATGGTGTGTGTGTGTGTCTCTGATGGATGGATGGATGGATGCATGCATGAAGACATGAAGTGGGGATCGGAGTGGAGTGATTCCTTGATCGAGGAGCATATGCAGTGGAGGCTGTCTGTTCACCGCACCGCAAAGCAGACACGACGGCCGGCCGGCGGAAGGCGCCAAGGGCAGGGCAGGTGATGCTCGCGGCCGCAGGGCAGTCATGCAGCTGATGGAGAAATATTGCAGCTATAGATTAGCTTGGGTCACAAACAGCCAAGCAAAACCGATCCATGGCCCAATCAAATGCTCTGCCGTGCCGATGATGAGCAGCAGCAAGCAACCAAGCTGAGATCGATCGATATATCGAGCTGGCAGGAGAAAATTAAAGCGGCAGCATATATATGCAGGAGAAATTTCTCCGGGCTCGCCTGATCCATCACACGCGGACCGAAGCAAACCCGGACGTCGAGATCAATGCAGCTAAGGGTAAGGGGTAAGGTAGATGCCGGCGGCCGGCAGGGGAGGGAGAGAGGAAAGAAAGGGTCAATGCAGGGGGCCAAACCGTGGGGCACATGTGTTCCCCGTTCCAAGGCCACATGCATGTGCCTTAGCCGCTTTTTGTTTCCACCACGCTCCCTTCTCCTTCTTCTTTCGCCTTGCCATTGTCTGTAGCTCCCCCTCACTCTCCTCACGGAAGCAGGGATGATCTAACTAGCTGCCTGCTACTAAAACACAAAAGCGCCATTGTACCTGGTGTGTTTTTTTATATATAACAAGATGATGTCTTCTCATTTACATGTTATTACATTGTTTATCCGCTGACTACGTGGCTATCCTCTATAAACCGGGATTTCAATACTATTATGGTGGCATCATGATAGTTGGATCAGGTGGCACAAGAGATTTTATACATATGAATATGGGTGGCGATCTAGTTTACGGATAATTGATAGTCATTAATCTACATGTTCTTTTATGCTTGGAAAGGGTGTTTTGGTTCATTTGGCTGTATGCATCATATGCAGAGACCAGGGGAGGATTCAGTGCGGTTGTATCATCTTAGTGTAATTGACTGAGTCTTAATAAAACCTCTATTATCTTAGAAAAAAAAGGCATTGTACATATCATATCTTTATCAATATGTGCCTGCACATGCCACATAAGATATACATACCAGACAACGGCAGGTTTTAAACACCGCTCCATCACCAAGTACTACTCTGGGGGCGGTTTCATTTATGTCTGATTGGTAAAACTTCAGCTCCAGCTTCATCTTTTCTGAAGCTAGAGTCCATCAAACGGTTTCAATTTCACCTAAAAAGAAAGCGGAGGGACTAAAGTGCTATCACATAATGAACTAGCGACATGAAGCGGGTTTCAGACTGTTCCACAACTCCATTTCAGAACAAAAAATGCACCTTTTCACAAAAATTGAAAGGATGTGGTTAAACTAGCGAGTCAACAAATACTCACCGTACATGTACGGACTCACTCATATCCCTTAGGTCCAAATACTAGGGATATTCCGATTAATGTACACGTGCCTTCAATTATATATCCGATACCAAAGCCAAATCAACACATCACACACATCCTAAATATATCTCTGCAGCCACACGCATGATTAAGGGCATACATTGCTTTCATACTCACAAGTCACAATTCATGGTACATGTGTATATATATGGAGTTCAACTAAGTATATTTGTATTCCAACAAATAATAATTAGCAGCAACACACACTCTTCATATTCTTATAGTCCCATATGGAGGACTATCCTGAAAATGACATATACAGTACATCATGTACTCCAACTAATAATTAACAACAACACACTTCTCATGCATATTAATTGTCACTTCCATGGACTCTCCTGAAAATGACAGGCACCATTTTCAGTTCCATCCAAAAAGTAAAGAGTGACAAGCTAGAACATGTTAATAATATATAAATTTATACAGCAATGCATGCATGTTTAACCAACACAAGTTGATCGGAGAGCCTCGGAGGCAAATATAATACTAAGAGCGGCGGTAAAGATTCTCTAGCAGCACTAGTGTCGTCCTTGCATGTGTGCCATTCGTTCATTCATATTCTCATCACTAGTGAAATTTACTTAGATTCCATCTCACTCATCACAACTATCAAAGCTTAGCTAAGCTACTAGCTGCTTCTTCTCCTATAAGTAGGGCGATCTCACTCTCTCGCAGCAAGCCAATTAAGCGAATTAAGCACACATCAATTGACCAAACCTATCTCTCTATCTCTCTCGAGCTAGCGAGCTCTAGGTGTTCGACACCGAACAAGGCAGCTAGCTAGTGGCGATGGACGGCGGCCACAGCCCGGACAGGCATGCGGCGGCGGCGGCGGGGGAGCCGGTGAGGTCGCGGTGGACGCCGAAGCCGGAGCAGATACTCATCCTGGAGTCCATCTTCAACAGCGGCATGGTGAACCCGCCCAAGGACGAGACCGTCCGCATCCGCAAGCTGCTCGAGCGCTTCGGCGCCGTCGGCGACGCCAACGTCTTCTACTGGTTCCAGAACCGCCGCTCGCGCTCCCGCCGCCGCCAGCGCCAGCTGCAGGCGCAGGCGCAGGCGGCCGCGGCCGCCGCCTCGTCGGGATCTCCTCCGACTGCTTCGTCCGGTGGCCTCGCGCCTGGCCACGCCGGCTCGCCGGCTTCGTCGCTCGGGATGTTCGCGCACGGCGCCGCCGGGTACAGCTCCTCGTCGTCCTCATCGTGGCCGTCCTCGCCGCCGTCGGTGGGGATGATGATGGGGGACGTGGACTACGGGGGCGGCGGCGACGACCTGTTCGCCATCTCGAGGCAGATGGGGTACATGGACGGCGGCGGCGGCTCGTCGTCGTCGGCGGCCGCCGGTCAGCATCAGCAGCAGCAGCTCTACTACTCGTGTCAACCTGGTGAGCCCTTCATACATGATGCATGTCCCCCCAATTTCCATTCGTCGGTGCTTTGATTAATTTGCCTTTAATTTCTCTCTAACTAAACATGCACATATATAGCTAGTTTTTAGCATATATATACATGTTTAATTACGCATGCAGATGCAGTGATGAGGGGAATTAGTTGTTCCGTTTGGTGCTAATAATTCTTGCTCTCCTAGTACAAATTCAGAGAAAGAAAATTCCTTTCAGTCTCTCTTTGCTTCGATCGATCTCTTCTAGAGTATTAAGGGACATGTACATACGATCATATTACTGCATATATACACTTGATCGATCGTTTCATCTTCCAGAAACTCATATTTTGTCTTCCTTAATTTTAATTTGTCCTTATTTTGATCTTCCGCGTTGAATGTCTTTGAGACTTTGCACTTGTATTTTTGCGGTAATTGAGATTGGGAACGATCAATTACGCAGTACTAGCTAGTGTACTACACTGAAATAAGAGAATTAAGGGCAAAGCTTTGTCTTGTTCTTTTATCTTAGTAGTAGCAAATATGCTTCATGCATGCATACTAAATAAACTAATACTGCCAATTTATCCATGCATGCATATATAATCGTACTACATTATATGCATATGGAGTATATATAATGCAATTAATACTAGTAGTTGAATTGTTGCATGCGTGAATGGCGCAATACAATATATGTACTTAATTATGCAGATGCATGCATGTTTTTGTCATGGATTTGTAGATATGCATGAGTATACATATAATTTAGACATAGGGCTGATACTAGCTAGGACACTGAATTTCTAACCACCGGCCAGCCGATCAATGGTAGTACTACTTATTATTGGTTAATCATCAAGTAAAGCCACCTATTGATCGATCGATCATATATATGTACACTGTATATATCACTCCAGTTGTAGTAGGAGTAGTACTTTTGCAATAATTGAGAAGTAGTCCTTGTCCGAAGTGACATTAGATATGTAGGTAATGTGAATTGGGAAAGAAAAATGATGGATGAATATGATATGTGCAGCGACGATGACGGTGTTCATCAACGGAGTGGCGACGGAGGTGCCAAGGGGACCGATCGATCTGAGATCAATGTTTGGGCAGGACGTGATGCTGGTGCATTCAACGGGTGCTCTTCTTCCAGCCAACGAGTACGGCATCCTCCTCCATTCTCTCCAGATGGGCGAGAGCTACTTCCTGGTCAGTCTCAGCCCTGATCGATCGCTAGCTAGCTCCAACTCCTCTAATTCGATTCTGTCATCACAATGCACGTCACTAAGCTAACTAGCTATATACCCTGTCAATTAATTACTTACTTACAGAACAATTAATTAATCGATCTATAGTCAATTAATTAACAAGGCGTTGCATCATCTATGTATATATGACAGGTCACGAGGTCGTCTTGATCGAGTTGAGCGATTCGTCGATTGATTGATCGATGGCAACGTACGTATTGTGTCAGCAAGATTTAGGTACCCCTTGTCCGTTGGATCAGATCGATATGCAAGCAACGCATGCTTTGCAGGTGCCGGCCGGTTAATTACGCGATCGATCGAGCTAGCAGATGATGAATGCTGCACGTACGCATGGCAATTGTCACTGCGACGAGCCTGCATATATATGAACGATCCATTGATCGTCATTCTAGCGACCAAGCAGCACGATAGTACAAGTATATACTATACAATGCAATTGCAGCGACGAACTAGTTAATTATAATACAGATAATGCATGTGTACTTCTGTGGCCATACATATATATATAGAGAGAGAGGGGATTAATTACTATATTCGTTTTTCATCTAGCTGGTCGATCTCTGTGTGTACTTGTATGTATCCCGTTCTCGATCTTTATATCAGAATATTTTATATATGTATATTTTACAATTATATATATAGCCGTCTCGATCGCCAAGCAAATTAATTTGCGTGCGCCCTCATGCATGTAATTTTTGTTTGACGCACGCATGCATGAATGCACTACTAGTACGATTAGTAATGTAGATCATTATTCACTAAAGTGAGAAGCGTCCAAATGTCTTCCAGCTTTTTTTTCACAAACACGCAAAATATTGCACGTCAATATATTAGAAGAAAAAAAATATTTCGTTACACGACGCAATCAGCCAGACTAGTCTATGCTAAGGGAAGAGAGAAAAAACAAAACAAAAGTTGAAGCTGTAAAAAACAAAGGTCTTCCAGCTAGCTTCACAGATGATAGATTAACCGATCTGGGTTCGAAACCTTACCATTTCCTAATATTTGTGTTTTATTCACTGAAGAATAACACCCGGCCGTTTGAATATATTAATGTACAGATATGCATGAACCTGAATTACCAAGCATAGCTATATATTGATAAAATCATTTCATGTGGTAACTCATGCGTCGTATATATAACCGTGTGTGAGAGAGAAATTAGCTTTTATATATATGTATAAAAAAAACTAAAGCGGTTGATCGGTCGGTCGATCTGGTCGCAAGTGGCGAGCTCACCACCTCTACCAACCAAAAGGAGGCTACCGCGTGTCATTCGTTTTTCTACTACCAAGTACTCCACTCCACTTAAAACTCTCCCTCTCTTTTCTTAATTCTAGCCCAGCTTAGCTACTAGCCTAGTACCAAAAATTCATCGATCGAATGTACTAGTATGTGTTTTCTATGCCCAACTCTGGCAGCAGCAAGCATCAGTCAAACCACTACACTTTTAAGTATCCTACTTACAGAATGCTATTACAATCTTTTAACCAGTTTAATTGGAGCATACTTTGAATGAATCATGAATGGATGCTTGCTTCTGCGACTAGGTTAGGATGCATACCTGCTGCCTGCCTAACATCGGCTTGCGACTGCAGCCACCAAGAAAACAGTGAGCTTGACCCATGCATATGATGCATCCCCTGCCTGCCCACACATGGATCATAGACTATTTAATTTGTTATTCCCTTGCGTTAGTTGTGTTAACACCACCCCCAAAGTTAGTATATATCACAGGATTAAATATACAATTATCAAGTTATCATATCAGATTCCTTTCTACTAGGAGTACTCTGTTTTCCAACAAGTAGGTTAAACTTTTTGAGTGCACTGATGACTGATGAATGCATGCTAGTCTAAGCTCAAGGGTGCCCAACTAACATTCAGTAACAAAGCAATCAATGGAAATGAAAACTGGTCAGTTGTCACATCCACAATAAGCGTACTGAATCAAAAAGGAAAGCTTCAGACTTCGGTCTACATTCTACACAGATGCTAGTATAAAGGCAACACAGCCGAACAAAAGGACAGAGGTACTTCAACTAATGCAGGTCATCATAGAGGTAACTAAGGGATCATTAGAGAACCAAAGAAAGCAACAAGTAAACATCACGCAGACGCAGTACAAAAATGCTAACCATTTCTTCGGAGTTGAACCTCTTGTCAGGCAGCAGATCTTTTTTTTTTTCCTTTCTGAAACTTGTCAGGTAAATATATGGGCCATTGATCACAGAGCTGAAGGATCAGCAGAATACTATCAGTATCCTTTAGGCAAAGCTATTAACAATTATTATTATTGTACAACAAAACATATGCTGACAGCCTGATCATGAACCCAGTAGACTGGTGCATGCTCCACAGGCAAATTATAGAAAAATGTCAAGAATAGTACTCTTCAGGTTTCAATAGTACAGATCACGCTGCCTCCATGTTTGCAGCAGCGCCTACATCGCCAATCATCCTTCAGGCTGTAGCACTTGCTTAAATTATAGTAGTAACATGTTCTACAATTGTCACACGATTTCTTCAATATACATCACGTTGTCTCCTGGAAAGATTGAGATCGAGATAGAGCTGCTGGATTCGCCTGCAGGACTCGTGCAGCACCGGATATCTGCTCCCTGCTTTCAGGTTTCGACTGGAATGATCTGAACATGCTACGGTCACCAGGTTCAATGCCAAGGGTTGTCCAGATTGAGCTCTTTGCAGCTTCGTCAGGATCATCGATCCGAAGCGTTTTCGGAATCCACAAGTTTTTCTCTGCCTTGTCATCTCCTTGCGGTTTGGAGTCCCTGGAGTGCTTTCCTAGGACAGGAGAGCCGTTGTCTGAACATGTACTAGTGCTTGTAGGAGATGAAGCTGACACGCTGCAATTAGGTTGAATCCATGGCGAGCTCCATGCACCATTTGGCCAGGGAGAAATGAAGGGCCAAACTGAAGATGGAATTACCGGAAAGTATCCTGGTACCGGCATCACTGGTGGCATGCTCCACTGAACACTAGCTGTGCTTCCATTGTCTGAAGAATTTGCTGGTTCAGCTGGTGCTGTGCATACCGGTGGTGCCATGGCAGGAATGCCATTCCATGCTGGACTCCATGGGTACACAAAAGGAGGACCAGGGAAGCATGGTATGGGATGCATGGGAGGGACTCCACTATGCCCAACAATTCCATTTTGATGCCCACTAACTGCTCCATTAACTGGTTCATTCCGGGGACTATCTGAAGTTGTTCCTGAAGCCGGGCAGGTCTGGGTTTCTCCATTTCTGGGTTGTGCTGTTGAGGTAGGCTTGGCATTCTTACTCTGCTCTCCAATTTTCAGCACAGAGGCCATGGAATTACAGAGTGGGGAATCAGGTGCAAATTTAACTGCCGTTGCTGTTTGATCTCCTTTTATAGAGAGTTGATAGAGGGGAGCATCTCCAGCAGGAGCAGCTAGATTGCTGCCCGTGATTAATATACTGCGGTAATTTGCAGTGGAGCTCTTACTCTTGCGCCTACCAGCACCAACAGGGAGGTTCCTCATGCTTCCACCTGCCGTCCAATATCTCTGACAACTCTTGCAAAAATGTCTTGGCTGGTTAATGTTGTAGTTGTTGTAGTAGCAGAACTTTGTATCCATGCTGTTGCAACGAGGACAAGGCAGGATCTTGTCTGGCTTCTTCAGGACCTTCTCTTCACTCGATCCACCACCCTCTGTTTGAGCTGCCTCAGATTTGGACTCTGATCCAGTCATTTCATCATTGCTAGGTGTTTGATTCTCACACTCGCTGGAACTATTAAAGCTAGAACTATTCATCTGATCAGCATCTAACTCCTGATCTGTGCATGGCTTTTCTTCACTGATCCTCATGTCTCCTGTATCCTCACATGAATCCTGACGATCACATAATGACTCAGTAAAACAAGTTGCATTGCAGAAGCAACAAGCATTTTTTTTTAGAAAACTAGATCAAACAATATGGTATACAAATTCAAGCACTTTATCTACACATTGGGAAAAACAGCACTTAATATGAATTTACGACACCGTATTCACTACAAGCAATTTTTATCTTGAACTAGCTGAACTTCCCACGTTTTTTTGCGCAAAGCTACATTAATGCTTACAAGCCACGTAGTCGCGCGTTGCGCTACTTTTGATTCTGTATAAGATCTATTAGTTACAGAAGGTCTTAGCATGAGTTAATTTATTTACAAAGTATCCCTTGGTCTAGCTAACTATAGATTTAACTAAATCGTACTATATGAGAAATCACTATAAGCTTCTTGGTTTTTGTTTTCTTCATTATCTTTGCCCTCTCTCTCTTTGTACCATGTGTCTAAGAGGAGGCACTAGAAACCTCCAGAAATTCCCATATGTTTATCAAATTGTTGATTTTTTAGTGCATATGTAACTTTTTGATCCAATGGCTATTATTTATCTAAACTCTTTATTCAATGGTTGATATGTTTTTGATGATGTGGCGTGTTCTCGTGTAAGAAAGCTTGTTACTTCCACTATATAAGATAAGATAAGATTTGGAAGTGACTGCATTTAATATACAGCTATTGCTTATATTACCATAAATGCAATTGTATTTTGTATACAATTATATTGATCAATTGCAGTTATAATATGGACTCGTCGTGATTACTAACATAGATATTTCTCTTCCCCCCCCCCTGAATAATGTCGTAATTTTGAGGCCTCGAAGCAAAAATGATGGCTACTTTTGGCCTTCTCTTCAGAATACTATAATAGATGCCTTACTTGCATATGGGCAAAAATTCTTGGCAACTAAGCATGCAATCTCTCGTGGATCATCTTATTTGGTAAGAGTTGGTTAGCATAAGGAGCTTGCTATAGTTCAAATGGCCTAAAAGAATTGATTAATTTGTTTCAAAGGAAGGCATGGCTGGATTTCAGTGGTGGCATAAATTCTCCATGTTGATCTGGGTGATTGCAAGGATGATTAAGGGCATGACTATTGTTTTTGTTGCAAGCGACGGATCCTTTTTATAGCACATCATTTGCATACATCAGTTTCCCATGACTACAGTACAGCAACGAAGTTTGGTAATCCCAACAGTGTTACAGCATATGGTTCTCAGACCTAGTAGCTGCTCTGTGGGTGCAAGTGTCAGACTTCATGTTTGAGATCAGTCCAAGCTGAGTTAGAATCTAGAGGATAAGCATTCCCATTTGAAATGTATTTGTGCTTCTGTGCAGAAGCAAGAGCACAAATCAAGCAACATCACGGTAGCAAACTACACAAGCCATTTCTGTCTACAGAGTAGCACCAGAGAGCAACTTCAGAAAACCCCATGAGAGATTTCTACTTAGAATCAGCACCAACCTATTACCTAGTACTCGAAAGCTGCTTGCAAAATAGTACTAGTACACAAGAGCAGAAGAACTTTTAGAGAGTTGAGTAAACAATTGGACTTCTCTCTTGCTCTGGCTACCCAAACTTCATGTAGAAATTGAGCTAATGAGCGTGCTATTACTATCCATAAGACCCGATCAAAAAATCGGTTTTTTTTGTAATTATCTCGCTTAATCCAAAAAGGTTGTCACGGTGCCTAACTAATCAATCACCACAGAAAGATGCAAATTACGTGAAGGATTGGAGTGTAACGAGTACAAAATTAAGATCAAGCACATGATTATACTACGAATTAGCTGATATTACTATGCAATTCGACCATATATTGCAGTATTAATCGAACAATTTTATCTATACCTTACTGACCAAGAACTGAAGCAGCTAACACACGGATGGATGTTGTTCCAAACAACTTTACCAATTACAAACAGTCGCACGCGCACGCAAGAACAAAACACTGCAAAATCAGCTCGGAATATAAAAAAAAAACCGCACCTTTTTCCTCGAATCAAGTCGCCAAAAAGAACTATAAAAAACAGAAATTTTCACGAACTGAAAGGGGGGAAAACAGAGGAGATTACGAAAAACAGAAAAGAAAAAAAGAAACAGGGGGGTCGAGGCGAGCTCACCTTCTCCGGCGTCTGCGGGGGCGGAGGCACGTGGGATTCCGGCGGCGGCGGCGGCGGGTGAGGAGGGGAGGCGGCGGCGAGGTCGTCCATGGAGATGGTACATGGGCGAGAGAGAGAGGGAGAGAGAGAGAGAGAGAGAGATCCGACAAGTGGAGTTTGCCATTGGCAACGCTACCACAAAGGGGAAAAAGATTTCCTCTTTCCTTCTTGCACAAACACCCCTGTACTATTAATCAAATTTCATTTTAGTCCTCCTCTCTAAATGGGTCTCTCACTTGCATTGCTTATAGTTATAGCCGCGTGGGTGTTAGCCATGCTTGGCCCATGATGCCTCCATTAGCCTCACATGAGTTATTCACATGCTTTCATAGAAAAACAATTGTAGCAAGACATGCTGTATTTTTATACTCCTAGCTATAAATGAACGAGAGTTTTTCTTCATATGCGTAACAAACACAAATAATAAATTTGTAGCCTCTTAGAAAGTTGGATTTCTTTTCATCTAGCACCTAAATTCAAGCGGTGTTTAGTTTAACACTTCAGCAAAACAACATTAAACATGTACAATGTTTACTAACAGTGGGCTCTTAGACTTGCCATCCAGACAACTAACAAATTTGCTAATACTGCGTATGTAATAAAGGAAAAGAAAAGTCATCGATATTAAGCTAAACATCATTTCTTAGTTTAGTCATATAGAAACAAAATAACTTTTTTCTTTCATGAGACGGAGAAAATAATAGTAGAGTAAAAAAAATATTTTGGTGGATTAATATTTAGGGTCTATATAATCCCAACTATTATAAAGTGATAGTATTATAAATGACAAGTATATTGCTTAAAACCCATACAAGACTCTACCTTTCAACGTGTGCCAAAGCTATAAACCAGATTGGATCATGGGAATAGGTACCAAGTTACCAACCAGCATCCACTTGAAGAACAGAATGTTTTTGTAGTTAAGAGATAGTGAAGGGGTTGATTCAACAAAGAGGCAGCTGGGGTTTACTTTACCGGGTCAGGCCGGTGACCGGTGACCGGCGTGCCCGGTCGGAGTCCTAGTCAGCGCGCGGAGAGCGATCCTGGGCCACGAATCCCCCTCCCGTGGGGCCCACCGCCGCCAGATCACCCGGTCGTGTACAACCACCCGGGTGCCCGTACCGGATACACGCGCCCGCCTTAGTTTATTCCGTCTCGTGCCACTTGGAGAACGAGGGTCAATGACAGGTGGGCCAGGGTGCATACTATGGCCCACATGTCAGTGCCTTTGATGGTGGGGTGATGAGGTAGCTTGGGTTTTTTTGATGAGGGGGAAAAGTAATGGAGGACGGCAAAAGGCGCTTTCGGCTTTTTTTTTAGTGCTTTTGGTTTTATTGGAGGAGCTCCACATGGCCCACGGCCCCTCTCCATTTCTTTTTTTTTGTTTTTCCTCTTTTGAGGGTGTTTTTCTTTTAAGGGAGAATGATGATCTGTTTTTGCTACACAAACCTGACCTGTTACTAACAAATTGTATTTTAAGAAGCATGTGCATATAGCTAGTATTCATACTGCATAAAAGAAATCGTTATGCTCAGTCTTTCTTTTAAAAAAAATTGTGCAACATATATTATCCTTATCCTTATCCATGTATTATTTTAGCCGTAGCCAACGTAACCCTTAATAACAAGATCTTATCCTAGAGATGAGTGTGCATACATGCAAGTGACCTTTTGCATTTGAATTGTGTTTCTCCGAAGAAAAAAAATATTTCTCTCTGGAATAAAACTTTCTTTCTTTACCTCTGAAAAAAAAAGACTTTCTTTCTAAGAAAATATATTTACAGAACTTCTGCCTCACTTTCGTGAAAAACAAGTAAAAGTAAAATACAGTATAACAAATCAAAGCTGCAAGAGTGGATATCGCGGCAAAATTGGCCCATGTTAGGGAAACCATGGACAGATAGATAGTGCCAGGTCTTTCATGGATAACGCTATGAATGAACAAATGAATGGCTGAAGAGAAAAAAAAAAAAAGGTACTCCGTAAGTATTTCCAGCTACCTTAGCTTAGCAGCAGCACCATGCATGCTGGCCGACATGATGCATACGCTGGTGATCTCACATCTCTTATTATTTTATTTCTTTTCTTCAGTTTCTTTCTGCCTCCACTGATCCACGCATGCAAAATGCAAGCAAAATCTATTTAGGACCTTTTTGGCACAAATGTATAGTAGTGTTGCACATATCCACACATCCACCCTGGCTTCCTTGCAGCCACATGATAAAGATCTTTTCCTGTGCTGCCATTTCTTGGGCAATATATATAATTAATTAATAATACGAAATAATGTTCATACAGTTTGCATCTGGCTTTTGCAACTTGCAAGATCACATGATGGACCATGCATGATGCTGGTCCCTCTATAGTTAACCCTTGGGTACCTAAACAACTGAACTTATGCAGTGGCCACATGATGAAGACTATCTGGTCTTTCCTTGCTCCTCTTGCACAACAAAATTCAGAAAACTAGCTCTCTCTTTTTTTTATATACATCAACTCAGACAACTACTCCTAGCTAGTACTGCTTGATGCTAAATATATGTTATTAGTATCTCCTATAAACCAAGATTAGATGGGCTGGTCAATCAGTCATAAACAAACATAACCCAAAAATAAATGTGCTTCGGAGAGAGAGAGAGTAGTGGAGGGAATAAGGCCAAGAAGAAAACATTGGCACCACAAAACAAAACAATAACGAGTAACAGTTAAGTACTGTTGGATATTTTTATCTGGCTGACGAAGGAGGGGCTTCCTGCCTACCGCCAGTCCTTACTCCAAAATACTACTTTACCCATAAAAAATAAATCTAGGACCGGATGTGACATATTCTAATACTACGAATAGACATTTATAGTAATAGGTTATGTCTTATCCAGTACTAGTTTAGTTTTTTATGGGACGGAGGAAGTACTCCCTTTGTTAGTTATTGAATAATTGACACTGACACTGTTAAAATTACACTTTAACCTCTTATTTTATAAAAAAATAAATACTAAATAAATGTTATATTATCAAAGTGTATAGCAGGCTAATTGTTTCGCCTACCATTGATAAATCGTAAAACAGTGTATAAAAAAGAAAATTGTTGGTAGAACTTTTATATATGTATGTTATTCATGATTTAAAAGTTAATCATAGAAAATAACTACGACGAAGAAACTCTCTAAATCAACTTAAAAAATTTAAATTTTAATAGCAGGTTAAAGGCTGAAAGCTGCAAACAATGGTTTCATATAGTTATAAATATAACCTTAAAAATTTTATGTGTTGGTATAATTATTTAAAACTAAAGTGTCGTACCTAACAGTGTATACACTTATTCGAGATCGGAGAGAGGGGTAGTATTTTCGTTGGAACTTAAGGGAAGAGAGACTAAAGTTTAGTCACTCTCTCTCAAACACCCCCTAAATAGAAAATACTCGTGCACTTACCAACATGGCAACATGCACTTTACAATTGTACTACAAGTGGCAAGGGAAAAAAAATTAAAAATATCCGTGTGCATCCACTCAGCTCTTGTCCTTTCCCGAAAAAGATCTAGGCCCATTCCAAAGAGAGAAAAAAGAGTGGCCACGTAGTGTACTTTCAGTTTCCAATTTCAATTTTTTGTAAAAGGCCTTCATGATTCGTGCCGGACCGAAGTGTCAGCCATTCAGCTCTATCACATGATGAATATTTTACTGAGGAATCACATGATAAATCCGAAGCCCAATGTAGTTCAAACAGTAGCTTAATTAGGTTGTGTGTGTTTTATTGTGATGGGTTGAGTTTAGATAACATGCCCAATGTAGTTCAAACAGTAGCTTAATTAGCTGGCGTTGCGGCTGAGGCCCCACATGCGCTCCTTGGTCTCCATCAACCAAAGCGCCTTCATCAAGGGAAGAAGCATTCATGACAACTTCCTCTTTGTGAGGAACATGGCCAGAAGATTTCACCGTACGAATCGGCCGATGCTCCTCTTCAAGCTCGACATCACGAAAGCATTTGATTCTATACGTTGGGACTACTTGATGGCCCTTTTGCAACGCCTAGGCTTCCCTGTAAAATGGAGAGACTGGCTAGGTGCCCTCCTCTACACATCTACCTCGCAAGTTCTTCTCAACGGCATCCCTAGTCAAAGAATCACGCATGGGAAAGGACTTCGGCAGGGAGACCCGTTGTCTCCGCTCCTTTTTGTCCTAGCAATCGACCCTCTCCAACGTCTCTTTACAAAGGCAACAGACCTAGGTTCGCTCTCTAAGCTTCGAGGCAGAATGCATCGCCTGAGAACATCTATGTATGCAGATGACACTGCCATTTTCGTCAATCCCACAAGAGGGGATGTCCAAGCGCTCACGGAAATCCTGCAACGTTTCGGCACGGCCACTGGACTCGTTACCAACTTCCAAAAATCTCAAGTCGCGGCCATCAAATACAATAACATTGATTTGGACGACGTCCTAGAGGGAGTCCCAGCAGTGAGAGCATACTTCCCGATCAAATACCTGGGACTCCCCCTGATCCTCGGGCGGATGCGAAAGGCGGACATGCAACACATCTTTGATAAGATCACAGGGCGTATAACAGGATGGAGAGGCAAAAACATGGGACTTGCCGGGAGGTCCACACTTGTAAAATCAATGCTGACGGCGCAGCCAATCTACTTACTGACTGCTCTGAAAACTTCAAAGGAAGCCTTGGAGTGCCTAGACAAGCAGCGGCGACGTTTTCTCTGGGCTGGCACGGGGGACATCACGGGTGGAAAATACAAAGTCAATTGGACAAAGACGTGTCTGCCAACTAGGCAAGGAGGCCTCGGGGTCCTGAACCTAGAAAAATTCACGAGAGCCCTGCGTCTATGCTGGCTGTGGCATGAATGGAAGGACCCAAACAAGCCATGGGTTGGTCTCGAGATCCCCTGCGACGAAGTAGACAAGAGTTTGTGTAGCGCCCGTTCCGTCGTGGCGCCTAGCGGGAAAACTATCTCTTAAAAACCCTATTTGCGAAATCTGTTCCTTTGCTTGTCGTCTAGTGTCCATGCCATCTCAGATCTCAAATCCCCGATCTATCGTCGAATTCAATCCCGAATCCAAATCCTTCCAAATCAATCCCTCCGCAAAAGTCTATTTCGCCTCCCC